CAGTAAAAATAAATATGAAGGCACAGGATACCTTCAAAACCTTTGCTGAAGGTAAACAGGCTTCGTCTCTTTTGGGTGGGACTTTTCAAATATAATTGAGAAACCACTCTTCTAGTCATTACTGTACTTCATTATGGCAAACTTCTGAAATTCTTTTGCACCGTGAAGGACAACAGTTGTTTTCATTACAAAAGGGAAGTACCTGACTCAGGTAGGATAAGTCCATTTAAAAAAAAATCTGTATTCATATGCACAGTAATTCTGCTTTAGTATTCATGTGTGCAGTAATTCCTGTTTTGCCCAGCTGATCAAGAATCATCAGTCAGAGCTAAAGTATTCGCACAGCAACTTCAAGTCTTAAGGCCTTTTTTCCTTTCCTTGCAACTATCCAGTTCTGTCTGTCCAGCATCGCAACATGAGGAAAAACATCACACAGCCATATGAATATCTGACAGTGCTTCCAGACTTCCGAACCAAAGCTATAATTCTTGCATCCAAATTTTCTTTCCATGGGAGAATACAATAGAGGGAAGAAGTACACAGACCAACAGACTATTCGTTTCTTTTTCTTTTTCTATTTCAAGTTAGGGAACCAAAATGTAGGATTACAGTTTCAATCAGTTCATCCAGGCACTCCTTCTGTCTAGAGCTAGAGTTGTTCATCTCAACCACCAAAGGTCAGGGCAGGATTTTCTGGTGGCAAGTATTTACCTCCAGAAATAAAAACACACTTTGAAAGAGTAACATTACCCCTGCTGATCAACCAAAACAAGGAGCAGTAACTTCCTTTTTAATCATAGCTCTTAGCAAATCTGCAAGAAGACAGATTTTACAGAAGCCTGGGAAATAAGCATTTTGCCTGTAAGGTCTAAACAAGTCCTTTTCTCAGCTTTTTGCATAATTGGCAACCAAACAGAAAATGCACAGCATCCTTTATTTCGTCCCCATAATGTTTCTGTATTTCCCATTCAGGAACAATGGATGTATCAGTTGCAAACGTAATTGACAAGCAGCATTGAGTAATGCAGAGGCAACAATTAGCAGCTAAAAAAAAATGGTAGAAAGCTGAAATCGGGGTGGCTGTTTCTTCTCCATCCCTTTCAGACAGTGAGACATGATATGCAACCGTAGTCACATTAAGCAACGTCCACTTGTAACAAGTGACCAGCTGAGTTGCCTAATCTTAAAGCTGTGTGTGAATTCATACAATATATTTATTTATTATTTATTTAAGGCCGTTTTTACATTGTATTTTAATCGATTCCATCTTCTCTTGTAAAGCGCCCAGAGCTGCTTGTTAACGAGATGGGCGGTGACAAATTTGATATATATAAATATAAAT